TAAAGGTCTTCGTGCTAATTATCATGTAGCATATATTGTCTTTAAAATATGCTGTAAAATATTAACAAAGAGTCTGTTTCTGTATTTATCCATCTTAAATCCTTTCCCATTCTACGTGTTGGGATAATGCATTTTACTTGTGTGTTTACGACTAAAGCGTGTTTAGTTTTGATACAAAAAAGTCAAATTCATCTTAACCATATATGTCCTGAAAAAATGTACTACCATGCAATCCTGTCTCTCTCAGCCGAACTTTTCAAACAGGAACCCTTAACTATGCTCGGATTGAGTGAAGTATTAAGTACACCAAGGATGCTCTAAATGACATGCTTCAATCAAAGTCCCCTATTGTCAAGATGGGAAAAATCTTCAAGATTGTGATTGTGATTGTTATATAATTGTTTAACGCCGGATCGGCAATATTTCAGCCATATTTCGGCGGTAAAAATCTTCAAGAGAGCGGAAGATTATTTACTCTTGGGCAACATCAAACAGAGTATCAGATGACAAAGATGCAAAATGGGTATGAGAAAGATGAAGTATTGGCACTTGAAGCAGAATGGCTCAGTTTAGGTATCACCTTGAAAAACTGAAATCCACATTGCCAAATTTCCAGAGCTTTATACCCACAGAATACTTTCTCCATCGTTTACCTGTGTTCAGAACTGAAAAACTGAAATCCACATTGCCAAATTTCCCAGAATACTTTCTTCATCGTTTATTCCATTTGGACCATCCTGAAACTGACTAAAATCATTCTGTCAATGCCAGTTAGCAATGCCTGACCAGAGATAGAGGTGCTTGTGCAGTAAAGTGTATTAAGAATAGGCTTAGGAATTGATTATCCAACAAAATATTAGCGACAATTATGCATGTAAGCATTATCGGTCCAAAGACAGTATCTGAGAACACAACAGCATTGATGAAAGAAGCAGTGGAAACACGGTATGCTAAAGACAAGAGAAAGCTCCCAGATTAGGTCAAATGGGAATGGGCAATGAAAACAAAACAGTTGAACCTGAGTTTGTTGTTGAAACACACAATTCTCAACTCAAGCCAGTTTTGGGTCAGATGAGATTACGATTATTGAACAAAAGTTTCAGGAAGTTTTGTCCATACTGCATAGTCAGAAAATTCATAGCGAATACGAGTAAGAAGACAAAGACGATGAGCTTGAAGCAGACTTTGAACATGAAGTAGAGAAAGAATTTTTTGTGAATTTGCTGTTGTTATTCTTTAAATTTCTTAAAATGTCATTAAAGTCGTTTCCTTTTCATTGTGTATGGTTGAAATATATCTTCACATGAGGAGTAACAGAAACTTGCATAGGTAGCACACGAACATGTTGCAACATTGCATTAAACTTCCCCCCAAAACCTTAATATTTACCATGTAAAATCAAAGATATTAACTTGTTCATGTTATCCTTGATAAAATGATATGGTAAAGTGTTCAGAATTATCAATTCTTAAATTCTTTTTGTTCTTTTTTTTTACTCATTATTTAAATTCTACATTTTTTGTCTAAAACGCTGGAAATGGCTAAGATTCTTATTTTCAAAACTTTTACGGAGGGGGGGGGATGCCTCTGGACCCCCTAGTAGGCTCTCACGTTTGGCGCTCGCATACTGGTGCTTCCTACTTCCTTTGAATCCCCCTGCTACTTGAAAAATAAAGGAAAACCCTGTTAACAAGTAGGGCTGCGCTAAAATATCGATATTTTCGTATATTGCAATACAATGACAAACAAGAAAACACTTTCGAAACTGTAGCTCTACTGGTTTGTATTCATAACAAAGGAAGAGAAAAGTAGCAATTGGGACTTGAAACTTAACAACAGCAACAAATAGAATAATGATCCTTGGTTAAGTCTCTTTTTGTGGCGAAATTGCAATAAGACTACAACTGTAGGAGTAGCTTTTGATAATAGTTTACAGAATTTTCAATTTAAGTTACAAGTACCATGGCAACATCATTCATCAAAAAACAAAACAGACAATTATTATCTCAGTGTGGTCTACTTGCATGCCACATTATATTATAGACTAAAACTGTAGGAGGAGTAGCGTTTTTACAGTATAATTAGTATTTCACAGCAATTTCTATTTTTAGCAACCTAAGCAACACATGCACAGTTCATCGAAATAAAAAAAACTGATACACAGAAATATATAACTTAGGGTAGTATACTTGTGTGCCAAGTTACCGGGTATATTAAAATCAGGCCAAAACTAGCATTTTGAAAGTATTTCACGTAAATTTCTATTTTGTTTAGTAATCACAGCAACACCGTTCATCGAAAACAAAATTATGTATCTTAGTATAGTCTACTTGTGTGCCACATAATATTGAAATCAGACCAAAACTGTAGGAGGAGAAGCATTTTGAAAGGATTTCACAGAAATTCCAGGAGTCATGATTTGAACAAACTTCATTCTACACTACCTCAGGATGATTCCACGTAAGTTTCATATTTTTTACCCAGTGGTTCTTAATAAGATTTTTTAATGATGCCATTATTATACCCCCTGCTTGAAAACCGGGAGGGTATATAGTAAGCGGTATGTCCGTCCGTCTGTCTGTTATGCTTTGGGGTACCTTTCTCTTATCTGCAACTCCTCTCAAACCACTGAATGAAATTTGATGAAACTTTCACAGAATCTTTATTTCATATTGCCATTGTGCACCTCCTATTTTACTTTTTGATCAGACACATATTTTGGGTTTCCCACAACAAAACATGGACACTGCCTGTCACAACTGACCTCAAGTTGTGATGGATTCGTTAAATCAGAATTTACAAACCAAAATAAATAATATTTTGTAAGACCTTCTGTATACCAAGAAACAAGATTTATAAAAATTAACAATAAATTTATCTACATATGTACAATAAATATCAAATCGGCCAAAAGTTCAATCATGGTCATCACTGGACAGATTCACACTTCACACCACGTCGCAATGTATGGTCCACCATATTGTCCCTTCCGGTCCACCATATCCCAAAAGTATCCTCACCATGTACACCAATCCTCCCGTCCAGAACAAAAGCTTAATATACAATTTTGGTCACCTACAATTTTCATAGGGTTTTCTAATAAAATGTTCGAAACACATATCTGTTCAATATACTAGATTTTACAAACAAATAACGAAAGAAAACATGTATTTGCCGTTTAACAAGTAAATGAATTAGAGCGTAAATATCTATATTCTCTCTATATTGCTAACAGTTTTACAAAGAAAATTGCTCTTTAAAGCTAACAACAAAAATATTGTAAAGTGTAAAAACTTAGTGAGCTGTGGCATTTTATACATAAAAATCATACTGTCGGCCTCCAGGTCTTGCTCTCAACGCCGCTACAAAACATCCCTGAATCCCAAGATCACACAGCAGGGGAAACAGCTAAAACACACCCAAGTTCACACAGCATGGGTTATATAAAAGGCACACCCAAGATCATTAAGCATGGGTAAAGTATAACTCACGGCGTCCAGACCTCATCTGACACACACTAGCCAACACCCAGTATAAATGACTGACCAAACTACTCAAACGGGTTCGACGAGTATACGTTGATAAAAATAGAACAAATACAACTCAGTGACCAATAGTGCGTAAATGAAATAAACGATAACTCCTAATGCCAAAATAAAGATAACTCTTACCAAACCCTGTACAATAAGCTAATATTAAACATTGACACAGTGTCTCTTGTGACACTGCCATTTAATACATATGGGAGGCGGAGGGTATCATTTAGTGAGCTCATTACTCACAGTACCTCTATTTTTTTCACTAATTCCTATTTCATTTTTAGCTCCTCTTGGAAGGTGTGACCCTTCGTTTGAAAAACTTAATCGCCTTTACCCAATGACACTTTGTGGCAAGTTTAATTGGTCCAGTGGTTCTTAAGAAGTCGAAAATGTGAAAAGTTTACGCACGGCGACGGACGAAAACGGATAGCAATATATCAACTGAGTGACTCAGGTGACCTAAAAAAACTGAGAAAGATATACACCTGTACTTCCAAATATGTTTTTAAACATTAAAGAAAATGTAATGCTGAAAATTAAATGTTTTTTATTTGGATATGATTTCACTAGTGAGTTTGTTTCATTTGTTACTCAAGATTCATACTCTTTGACTTAACTTTCATTATTTTTTTTCTTGTGTAATTTCTAATATCTTATATATTTAAGTGTTACAGCCAGTTTGTTAAGTTTATTAAGTCGAATTAACTCTAGCTTTGATGAGCTAAACTATAGAAACTCTATTAAAAAGATACTTTGCTCTTGATGTTTTCCATAATCAGCATACGTGCAGGTTCAGTAAAAACAAATTTTGTCCTGTGTATCAGAAAATCAATGTGCGGTGTTTTTATATAGTAAAACAAAGAACTTGAAGTGAGATAAAATATACATGTTAAGTGTTAAAACTCATATTTTAAATTTTAATACAATTGCAATACAATGCTAATAAAAAAAAAGAATGTTTATTAAAATATAAAAACCAAAGAATTTTGATGAACACCTATCAAGCACAACGATCATCTGAAAACCATGTTTGCCTGGAGAGATCGTTTGCAATATTAAGTTGAAGAATGTTTCTTGTAATATTTTATCGTTGTTAAATTGCATTACTTTAGCGAATAGTAGCTTTGTGGATTTTAAGAGGCAAAAATATACATTTGATATATTTTTATTTACGCTATCTTATAACTGTTTAAACACACATCTATATCTCTCAGGGGTATAAATCGGGGGTATGTTTTAAAAATTCATGAAAAAATACATATTAGAAGAAGGAATTCGCAGTGGGTTTGAATGATTTTTTTTCCCTCGGAGTCAAATTTTTTGCATACATTTTAGCAAAATAGAAACAATGAAATAAAACAAACGTTTTCCTTGCATTTCTTTGTATCTCTCCGTGTCACACCTTAGATGTACATAAATCTTGATCCGCCTGTGTACACAGTCTTTCATCAATCATTGCATAGGTGGATACATGTATATCAACAACTATCTGTAAAAGAGAAGATTAAACAAAATCATTATTTTTCCTCTACAACCATTGGTGTGTACAAATTACCGTACTCTGGCTTTTTGTCGTCACTTTGATTTACGATAAACAGGTGAGGCGATGGGATTAAGCAATGAGAATATATGACCTGGATTGACATGACGCTCAGGTGAATTGGAACGGAAGCCATTTTTAGTCAAGGAAAACAACACTAGGTAAACTGTGCGCCGACGTGCAGTCTTGCTATTACATTCACTGGAAGATGGTGTGATGTTTTGCGTTTGGTTTTTGGATTAAGTGATTATTTTTAAGTTCCCAGCATGTTTTCACGAAGTGTGACAATTGTACTCGGACTATGTTACGTGGTTTGCACGTTACTACAAATAACAGGGTTTGCTACCCCAGCCTGGGTAGTAAGCGATTATAATGGAGAAATTTACGAATCAAATGGACTGTGGTATTGTATTACATGTCGAGATGGTGGTGAATGCGAGGCAAAAACTTATCAGGAAATTCACAAAGAATATAAGACGGCGGAAGGGGGTATGTAGATGTATTTTATAAAATTACATGTAAACTAGAATTGTTTATATCAAGCACTAGGAAGTAAATTTTCTAAATTATTCACTACAGTCCCGTAAATTGATTCAAAATAAAGTAATTCTAATCTAAGTTCTTCTTTTTCCACAATATATAAAAATATTTTTAGATTATTGTTTTAATAAAAAAAAAATTTGAAATTTGATTTAAATGTGATGACGTTAGTTTTAATGTTTTCATTTTCGGAAAAATAATTTACATAACAGATTATGAATTTTTACCAAAAAAGTAATTGTTTCAATAAGGTTTTAATATAGATTCCAAATTGTGATTTTTTTATTTCAACTTTCACATGTTAAAATAATTGAAACTGAAGGAAACGCTCAATTATATACATTGTTTAACCTCTTCTCTCTACAGATATGGTATATGCAGACCAAGTTAGGGAGATTGTGATAGCGACACTGTCCGTGGCTTCTTCTCTGTTTGCCTGCGTTCTTCTCCTCATCAACATATGCGTCAAATACCAGCGACCGGTCCTTTCTCTGATATCTATTCTGTTCACCTTTATTTCAGGTAAATACCTTTTGTGTCGCATAAATTTATCAAATAATTTTATTTATTACAAATTTTATTTAATATTTTTATTTTCTTAAATTTTATCAAATAATTTTATTTCCTACAAAATATATATTGTTTTTGATCAGAAGACGTTGTATGACGATGAATACACAAGAAAATCATTTCTTCAATGAATTTATACAAAATTAAAAAAAATGCATTTTAATTCCCATCAATTCCATTCAGAACAACGTTGTGTTTGATCAAAAAAGACAATTGTGGTTTCCGTGTATTATTGGCGATGCAAAAAAAATTAATAAATATCAATCAAACTTTCCGAATTTTATTCTTTTGGCATACCAACACAGAATTCTAAAGATCCGAAATGAAATATTCATGAAAATCGCAGCGAATGTCAAACAGTTGGGGGGCATTTTTTAGTCGTGGCTTTGATGAGATAGCGGAAACATCGTACAGAATATGTGATATGTTTCTAAAGTTAAGTGATTAATCCAACAGTAATTCAATGTATTTTAATTAACATTTGTAACGGTGCAAACTGTTTATACTGACTTTTATGTGGATTGTAATATTACATTATTGATTCATCTTGTGGACTTGTGGTGAATAAAATGGACCTTTTTATGTTAAATAGATTAGGTGTTTAGTTGTTATCTTTATATGACAGGGAAGTTGCCATTTTGCTCCGAAATGTAATTTTGAAAAACTAAATGAACTTTACATAATAAATTAAAGATAACGACGACATTGATTAAACTGCACTCAAGTAAACAAATGTTCTGTTAGTCAAAAGAGATCTGTCAACGTACATTCTGTTTGTACCTTTCTCTTCTAGTATCAAATCTTCCATGATCATATTGTACGCAATTAAAGGGCGCGCAAAATGTGAAGAAAGCCCTCAATGTTTATTACACAAACACGTCATAAAAAATCTCATAGAAATATAAACGTACAAAGTGTATTTAGTTAATCAAGCATTTTGATTTATAGTAATCCCTCATCCTTCCGAAATTTGATAAATGGGCACAGGATGCAATTGAAGACGGATTACGCACGCTTTTGCTTTTTCTCGGTCGAGGGTATAAATGATTCATGTTAGTAATTGATAGAATTTTAGTATGTTCATCAGAAAACATAAGAACTATTTATGATAAACCGTTGGCAATAAGTGATAAAGTGAATGCGTAAAGTTCCAAGCCCGTCGACAAAATGTGCGATATGGAGATAAATTCGTCTTACACTATTCAACGTTAACCCTTCTCTTTCTATCGTCAGAAATCACAAATTCGTGTACAGATAACAGTACTTTTTATAAAATCACGTTAAGGCCTATGCCTACGTGCAAACTCGCAGTAAGAACGATTCCTCAACAAAAAAGAATGTGGATTTTTTTTAAGGAAACTACGCAACCTTAAATTTTGAAATTACAATGTAAAATGAATTTCGGTTGTCAAGAATTTTCAATTTTATTTCAGCTTCGCTGCTATGGACTATAATCGCATCGACTTTGGTGCCAATCGCAATAGAGCAGACGAAGACATACGGATTTCCTTATTCGCTGTTCCTGTCGGCTCTCGGCTCTTTCGGGTCATTAGTACTTGCCATAATTTACCTGGTCAAACTGTTGCAGGTCATGAACTCTCTTTCACCCACATATCAACCTCTTTAAGAAAGAGACAATTATGCTGTGGAAAAATGAATAAATTGGAGCAACAGGAGTGTTTTATTTGATTATATAGTATTTATATCTAAAATACATCATGTTTCATATCAAGAATATACACAATCGGTGATTTTCTCATAAATCCACATGTTTTGTTGCTTTATTATCTATATACAATTGTATATATTCTATGTATTGTCCCTACCTTGTTTATTCTGCTGTTATAAATTATAATTGAAATACAATCACGTTATTTGTTACGGTGCATTTAACTTTACGCATATATCTATGTGATATGTATTATATGTTATTGTTTCTTTTTTTTCCCCAAACTCTTCACTTCACAATTTTCCTCCATGCCTCAACATAATTATATGGTTAAAATCTATTCTACTATTTCTGTCACTTGGACAGAAAACATAAATTGATCAATTTAAAACACCATCAACACTTGCATAATAATATATTTATATTTTTATTAACAACATCTATTTCACAATGACATAACTGCCATTCCCGTTTTACAGAGAAATGAAAATTATCTCCCTAAACTGCTACTTTTTTAGCTCGTCGTATTTTAAATGAACTTTTTAAAGTGTTCTTTCTTGTTAAAAATATTTTATTTTACGTTTTGATTAATATTTTTCGTTCAAAAATTTAAAACAATACCTGTTGTAAACTACCGTGTGAAAACACTTGTTAATCTTTTCCGACATTTATTGCTACAAAATAAATCTATTTTGTCATCACTGTGTCTATGTTGGTACTCAGAGCTATATATTTAACCACAAACAAGCGAGCGCCATGGGAGAGAAAGTCAGAAGAGGCTTTTATTATGACTACCAAGCAGTGGTTCATATGTCTATGGAGAGTCTATCGGGGCAAACTGTCAATCAACGTTTGCATGAAATCATCTAAATAAAAAAGACTAGTTTTCGATAATTCAACTTCAGTGAGACTATAAATGTAACAAATATATCGTTAAAAAAACTCACTCTGAGTTAAAATGAAGTAAGAACGCTCGCAAAAGAAAGCATGTACTTGGTTAGACATGCTTTTATTTGTTTTATATATATATATATATATATATATATATATATATATATATATATATATATATATATATTCACAACTGTATTTTAAAAATTTTTTTTGGGTTTATTTTTGTATTGCTGTCCTCTGCTTTCTACTAAAGTTAAATGTTATTATCAAAAATATGAAAGAGAGCACTAAAATATAAAGACTTTAGGAAGTCTAGTACTTGATGAACACAATACTTCCAAGTGTTAAATACTTTATAACTTGTTTAAATATACTTGATCCTTCATCTAAATTCCATGTAATAGTGTTAATTTTTGTTCCTTGCGCGTATTTTCAAAAATTGTGAAAATAATACGACTGATATCTTTTCCCAACCTTCCGTGTAAAGATATAGTAATTTGTAATTAAAGGCGAACCTTTCAAAAATGAATCATGAAGAGTATTTCATGCGACACTGCTTTCAGACATGACTAATATATATTGTGATGTTTGGGAAATAGATATATGTATTTCATTATTTGTTCATTGTATCGGATTTCGCTGCGCTTGTAAAAGGGTCCGAGAAATGCTTCAGTAAGGCCATCTTAAGGTAAGTGACTCCTCAAATTTGTTATATCAAGGAATTTTTGGGAAGTATATTTTGGATAAGTACTCATATAGTATTACTCAAAATCGCAGAGAAAATATGGGGTCAGTGTGCATCTTACTGATCTATGGTTCAATTAAGTTGACCTTTTTGCTCTTAAATTTTAACTCTTTGATTTATTACTTTATCTCTAATTTTAATATATCAGATGTAACTACGTTAATACATTTAATCTTATTTTACATAAAATAGTTTAAATAATATTTATCATTGAACAAATCTTGCAAATTAATGCGCGTTTATTATTGTGTGACCTTTTTGCACTAAAAAATAACATATTTGGGGTATTAAAAAACTAAATAAGCAATCAAATATTTTCTTATATCAAGCTTTTTAGGAGTTAAGTGCTGATCAGTCACAAGTATCAAGTAGTTTAAAATAATGAAAGAAAAAGTTGGGGTCAGTGATGTTAATTTTGAAATATTGGTCAAAATATGTGATTTTCAGGCAAAAAATGGTGTAAATTTTATTTTGACTTCTTTAATATATCTTCATTTCTTGGCAAAGTTTGTTGAGGGAAGGTGTAAAACTTGTTCTAAAAATATAAATTAAGACCTATATTAAATATTCCTGCAAAATCACAACGGAAAATATTCTCCGAGTAAAAGTATGTGAGGCTAAAGTTTCAAGACATTAAATTTAATAAATGTGCAGATTTGCTGAAATTTCTGCTGAATATCCTTCCACCACAAGAAATAGTCCCTCATAAATCTTGCTTCTTTGTAGATTTTTAAGCAGTTTTTTCCATGAATGTTAAAAAATTTACATTGTTGAATATAAATATTTTATAAAAATTGAATTTTAATAAATGTTTTTAAAGTAAGAGGTTCTGCGTGAACTTTTCTAAAAAGCTGACGAGTGACTTACCTTAAAAAGAAATGTGTGCTTGACCTCCACCGACAAAGGACAAAAAGAATGAGTAAATACATATTATACTAGTAATCAAGAAAAATTTTCGAATTTGAGGTTAAAATAGTTACATTGAGACGAAAAACTTCTAAATGAATAAAACAAACTTTTCTCGGGTATTTTTTTTTTTTTTTTTTTGGAGTCGGGCCACTTTTTAAATCAATAGTATTGGAAAGTTCAAACAATTTTCTAAAGACGGCCTTGAAAGTCCTTAAATGTTAACAATAATAAACGTTCAACAAATTCCCACAAAAAACGAACACCCTCTTATAAGGCTGACTTGATCGTAAACTATGACGAGGATTATTTTCTGTAGAGAAGTGGACAGGCTTAGGCAAAGTTATACTTCTCTTCGCATTTTTAAAAATTTTATTCTGGAAAAGATGTGATGTGGATACCTAGAAGATTTTGCATTATATAAAATAAGAATTAAACATGTAATAAACTACTTAATAAGCAAGTGAACGTATCAGAGACATGTTAAAATAAAGCGATGAAGAGAAAATACAATGAATGAAAACCATATTTTCCCGGTCTTCAATACTTCAGAAGTAAAAAAAGGAAAGTAATAACTAGGATTTATTTCTGCAGTTGACAAACTTACTCTCCTCTGCATAGTTCCCTTTCTTAGTTTTTAATGATTTTTAATGATTTTATTTGATATTCCTAACGATCGAAATGAATTTGAATACATATAGTTGATTCGTAAATTTCATAAAAATCCTTACAAAAATTTGTTCCAGTAAAATTACGGTTTAAGGTTCTAGCAACCCTCTTTCTTCACTCATTACTAAAGGAACTTCAAAAGTATTGAGAAACAACATATCCGAGGCCTTAAATAAACATTTGTATGGTTGCAGTTGCCTACCGACCCACTGAAAATGTACCCGACCAAAACTTTTTTTAGACATTCTGTAATTTTTTTTCTTCAATTTTTCAGGATATTGAAACTGTTTCATTTTCAATTTTTGACTTTTGTTTTTATTAATCAGCGGTTTATTACAAGAGTGGAGTTTATTCATGTGTAGTAGGCCTATGAAAAGCTTTATTATTTGTAATCTAACATAAATCTAAAACCAATTTTTAAAAAAAGACTGCCTACCTACCCAGTATAAAATGTCGGCAACTACAAACAAAGAATTTTTTAAGCTTGGGCCGAGTTGTGTGTTTATCAGATTTGGATATCTAAAACTTACAGGGAACTTTAAGAAAACTTGAAATGAAAAAAATATTAAAGGCATGTGCATTAAAAGGTACGAGTTTTATTACTTTATATTACGTTTCCCCACAATAAAAAAATGAAGACATAATATTTGCCATCAACACTAAGATTTGATTAAATGATAATTGATGCCAAATTTTCAGGTCTGAAGGTATATGTTTTGAATGCGGATTTCAGGGCAACCAAATGCCTGATCAATTTAAATTATACTCTTTTTTAGTAACACACTTGCCTTATCCCTCTCCCTAGTATAGATAAACATATTCTGAATGGTGCCCAAAATTGGCCCATATCATATACGCGCGGTTTATAGTTCTTTTGGACATTATTAATAGCTGCGTTATGTACAAAAATGAAAATACATGTAGTAAATTTACTTAAGTTGTTAATGGTCATTTGTAAAACTATTCTAAAATTAAAAAGAAAAAAACATTTGGATTGTACACTCAAGTAGTTGATAATACATGCACATGTAGAAAGGTGCTAAAATACTGATTGACATAATCTTTGTTGGTTTTTTTGGGACCATGTCTCCCCCCCCCCCCCCCAAAAAAAATGAATTCCCTTGGGAACTAATTGCGTCTCGTTAATGGCAGACCTATTTCTAGAATCTTTCACCAGAGGGCGCGCTCCGCAAGCTCCACTTACGCAGAGGTGTTGGAGGGGGTCGTGGAAAGCCCTCTGATGAGAGGTTGCTATTTCTGTATTCATATGGAGCAGAATTTATTCAGAATCTTACATAGAAGAAAAAGAAAACACTTTCTGTTGCCTTCTCGACTTTAAAGTTACTTCGATGACATATTCTAGCAATAAAATTTGCTTCCATTCACATGTCATCTAAATACATCCCAGTGAGTTTGAAATAATAGCAGGGACATATATACTAAGTAGTATATAGGTCCCTGATAATATACTGACACGCAAAAGAAACGCAACAAGCAGTAATCTACAAATATTTTATTTTTTTATCTTATGATTTTGAAAAGCGAATGAAGTGAGGCTAAACTCACCTTCCAGAACATCAGAGATTTGATAAAAATGTTAAATGTTTATCTGTTCACTTTACTAAGTAAAATATGATTGTTTAAACACCCCCTCCCAGCCATTCAAGTAAAACGTGCAAGACTGCCCTAAACAACAATTGCAGCTTAATTTCTACGATACAATAGGTTCATTAATATCGAGATCTGAGCGAAGGAATTATTCTTTGGCATTTTTAAATGCCCGTTTTTCAGATGATTAAGTCGAATTTTCTTTAACTTAGAGCAGTGTAGCCACCCTTGGACTTCCGGTACAAGGACTGTCCTTAACGCATGCATATGATACGTAAGACCCTGTTGAGGCGTAATGTAGTAAAATTTCACATCAGCAACTCTCCATCACCTTTACATCGAAATTTTCTAGCTAGAGCTATGGAAATGCGTACATAAGCCATTTTCAAGAAGCCTTAGCATCGTTACGGGAAACGAAAGGAGAGTTTATTTTTTGAAATATTGCTGCATTACTTATGATGAACAGTAGAAAATCCTTCAAACTCCATAATATTGCCAAATGTTTTGTTAAACATGCAATTTTTGATTTCTGTTAAGCAGACTCAAACTTGACTTCCGGTTATGGTATGGAAATTGTTCAACCGTTAAATTACCGATACTCACCAAATTGAAGATATTCATAATTTTAAGATACAAAATTCTTTACTTTACATAATTATTTCTCCTTAAAGTAGGGCGTTGCGTTTCTTTTGCGTGTCAGTATACATACCATAGAGTCTGACACCGTTGTGTCGTACTTGCTGTTGCCTTCTCGTCATTTAGATATTCAGATGACATATGAACAATTAAAGTTACTTCATTTTATATTTCAACTCGGTATATTCTGAGTTTGAAATAATAGATACCAAAGTGTCGGACACATTTTTTTGTCGTACTTGG